ATAGTTGCTGAAATCTTCCTAGAGCGCAAATGCAGCAGCGAAGTGCGGATATCTTCTATCTTAGAGTATTTATCGCCTAAAGTGCTCCGCTAATTATCACTGCCCCATTTAAACACTAGGAAGATTTTAGCAACTATTTTTATACTTTTTTGAAAATCGGGCGGAGATCGGTAGCACTAACAACTCAGTCGAGAAAATCTCATTGGACTTCGTCAAATTATACTTTGTTTGCTTAATAATGTACCCATACATACGCTAGATAAATTGCCAAATCCCTATTGTAACATTTACAGTAGGAATGTCACAAACCCATAAGCTCAAAATAATAATTTCACAATTACTTCATCTGCTAGGCTTTCGTCATCAACTAATCATTATGTGCAGTGATAAAATTGCTCTTTGAGTTGACTGCAGTACAAAAATTTCTAGCAGTCTTTGCTACTAGTAATTTCTCAGGCTTTCACTCAGAGGATAAGGTAAAGAAGTGGTGCAGACATCAAACTAATTCTTAGTTTATTTCTGAAGATCTTTCCAACGAAGACTTTGATAAGACATTTTTGTCTCTATACATCATAACAAAGTGGCAAATACTCCAAACAGAATCTGAATCTTATTATCTCTCCGCTTTTTGTACTCCATTGAGGAACTGGGCTTGTGAAGAGACTTATCCTTCTCGTAAATCTGCTTTACCTCCTCTACACTTCTTCTTTCAATGCAAAATCGTCTTTTAACGACTTCTTTGAGCGATTCACGATCAGCCGGTATGCGATGTGTACATCTACGTGTGGCTGTTATATCTCTCTCACTCGGCTGTCAACTTGTCGAATCCGGACGACACGTTCGCATGGAAGTAACCAGAACGCGGGGCCAGAACGGAAACCCGTTCAGAAATAGTGCGGCCAGATCGGAGGGGACCCGGAACGGGTGCTAGGGACGACGATCAGACGCGCGACCGGTACGGAGGCGCAGACACGGCACGGGCGAGGAGAGTGCGGGCGAACGAGGAGGGCCGACCGGCCACGGGCAGCCCGTCGCCTCTAACCGGAATCGTCCCAGGTCAGACTAGCAACGCTCTGCCTCTTCCGACTTATACGGAAAATCGATCGTTCCGTGCCGATTCCGCTCTGCGAATCCGTCCACGTTCCTTCGCGAAGCAACCGAAACCCGTCGCTCTCTGAAACTGAAGCCGCTGCGGGCTGCTCAGCTGTTTGATCCCAGTTATCACATCCCTTCGTCTTTTTGTCGATCGCAAATCCTCGCTTTCGCTTTTTTCGTCACTCACTCTACGCTGAAATTTTGATTGCCATACCATACAATTACCCCACATTGCCTTGCTATCTCCTTGCTATGGAAGAAATATTAGCTTGGGTAGAAAATATTTTCGTTTCCGCATTAAATCTCTGTAAAAACTTTCCTTGTTTTATCTAAAATTTTTGAGAATAAGTAGTTCAAAGCCTCTACTAGCTCATATCAGCTACTCAGAATCTTCTACTAACAGTAATTGCCCCAATATGGCTATATTCATGAAACTCCGTTCTTTGACTTTCTAAACGTCGTTTTCATGCAGTAACGGATGTAGGGATGAGTAAAATACTATCTGTACAGACAAGTTTTCTCTATTTAGCGAATAACAATAGAAATTGTGACCTGCCATGTTAAAATTTTTCAATCAAAAGCAAAATTTTCTCACATTTGCACCATTTAGCGTATCTTACTTTTTTGCCCGTTTTCTTCACAATGAAATGATTTTAACTCAAAGGGATATTTACATTTCGCTTCTCATTGGTCTGCTCCTTACAAAGATTTTAAACACTAGACAAAAATTTGTCTATAACAATCGTAGTAGCCTCAAAGCGACCGAAATTATTAGCTAATCAAATATCATCCCTAGTTGTGCAACCACTTTGGTTTTGCATTACTCCAGTGGCCGTATTCATCAACGAAAACCCAGTGGGTTCCGGAACCCAGTTTAGTGCTTTTGATGAATATCGATGTAGAATCGATATTCATCAAAACCACTAAATGGGTTTCGGAACCCACTGGGTTGTTCGTTGATGAATACGGCCACAGATGCCGTCTGCAACGGTCGCAGGGTGATCTATTCGCTTTCCAACATATAGATTTTGGTAGATTCTCCCATTCCGTCTTATTTTCACGAATGCATCCACTTTTTCAGTTGCGAGAGGTTTGATGGAGCATTGTAGTTCTAGAAGGAAAGAATGACGCCAGATGTGAGGACCCTGTGATGGATTGGCGTTTTTTTGGCCAAAATGTTTTTTCAATGCTTGCTCTGATTTTTTATATCTTGCAGATACATATATTGACTTCTTCCTTTTTTTTGAACAAATGCTAGCTCCAGTAATATACAAAGATTCAGAATTTGATATTTTTCTAACGATGCAACTTTTTGTTTGGAACCCAACATGTATCTGAGTGAGACAAGTAACATTGAGGATAAGAAGATGAAGATAAACTTATCTATGCGTGTCGAAAAATTTTTGCTTTACCTTATGAAATAATAGTGAAGGAAAACAATTAATGCAAATGACAGTCATATACATACTACTATTCATCGTATTCCGCACAGATTCATTATTGACGGTAAAGGCAATAAGACAGGAAAATTGCGATACAGAAAATGTTGAAACTAACAGTCACCGTCACTCTGAAACTTTTTTTTTCACTTTTGGGTGTATGATAGTCTGATGGAAAATTGCAAAATGGCAAATTTGTGACTTGTCATTTTGATAGAACAATGGAGATACCGAAGAATGGCTTGACGAGTCGTAAATGAAAATTCAAACTCTCCAAGTGATGCTCTACTTTTCAAGCAAGAAAGTTGCTTCATCCAATGCGTCCAATTGTAGAAAAAACAGGCGAAAGTTTTGGAAAAAGCAACCATCTTCATACTTTCTTGTACCCCAAATTCTACGTTTGAAGAATTTTATTTGTAATTTGCGACAGATGAAGCTACTAACTAAATTTACCTGTTAGTTTGTTGACTCTATCCTGAACAATAGCTTTTTTTCTTTTTTTCTACATTTTTCGACGCTGTGAATCCACAGAAACCGATATTCGGTGAAGTATTAGTAGGAGCTTATTCTGATAAAGTCTATGTGTTTACTATTTCACTAACCCAAATCTTGTGCAACTCTGCTGATTTGTTCTGACCGCGGCTGCATATTAGGTGTCTCATAATTTTTTACCGTTTTTACTGCAACCGCCGTCTTTTTGTATCTTTCCTTTATCTGACGTGGTTTGAGTAATCATTCGACAGGGCAAAGCAAGCTCTACAAAATGTCTATCAAAAGTCTGCCCAAATCATATCGCACGTGAACTTTTGAACTGAAATCTGATAGTAGTCAAAATGTACTTTTCTTTCAATCGTATCTCCGACCCAAAATATCAAAAAAATTCCCCATTCATCCTAGCATATGTTTGACACCGCGTATTCAACTGTACACTTTTCGAAATTTTTTCATGGCTGGAAATAAAGAAAAAAATGAATGAGGCAAAATGGCAAACTCCGCCTCTAGACGTTCTGAGATCCTCCCATGCATGTGATCATATAACTCATACATACAAAAGTAATAGTACATAAAAATCATGTATTTGGATCTTTTGTAGGTGCTCCATTTTTCGAGAAATGCTAATGTTTGGGGTAAAAACGGTAAAAAATTTTGAGTCACCCTAATAGTCAGGATTTGCTCGATCCTGCGCTCTATTGGCATCGAAGATTTTGGGTAAATTTGCGCCACTAATCCATCCATCCACTTGTCAGTCGTTGTTTGTTATGAGAGCACATACTATCGGCATAATCTGAGGATATAGATACGTATAGAGGAGCGTCCAAATCGTAGGCTCGTGGCTCATAGGCTATTTCTATGTGCCAGATGGATAAAATTGGTCTCAAAAATAATTTCCATTTTTAAATTCGCATATGTGATGTTGCAGAGTAGTAATCAGAATTACTAGAAAATCGCTTTCATTGTCCTTGCGTAGTAAAATGGGACATGTCTGTACCTCAGGTACCATATTTGGGCCACATCTTAGAGCTGGAAATAAAGCTGTTCATTTTCATATGTATGCTTGCATCAGCATTTTGATGCGGCGTAATCTTATACATTCAAGGCTAAGAGTCATATAATTCAACCTCAAGGCGATTTTGAATGTCCTGTAGAAGAACATTTACAGTGCAATATATAATGCATATCAAAGACTTCTTTGAATACAAAGCACGTTCGTGTTCGTTCGTTCAGATCGTTTGCACGCAAGTGTCCACAAAATTTTGTTGACCAATCACATAGTTGGAAACTCAGCCCAAAGTGAAGTACTTTTATTCTTCTTACATTAACGATGCGCCTTCTTCACCTCACATCTCCAGATAGATATCTCTTGGTGAAATGTAACTGCTTTTTGAACAGTTTGACAGGTTCAGAGCAATTCCCATTTATTCAACACCACTCTTACTCGGTGTCTTTTCTGATACAACTGCAAACTTGCCCGTAATTTTAACTGCCTATAAGCATCGTCTTAAAATCGGCAATTGCCACTGTTGGCTCAAAAGTAAGCATACCAATTCCCCCCCCCCCCCCCGCATTCGGTGTGCGTGGCCAACGCCACGCCCTTCTCTCGAATTTTTCATCCTTCCCCCTTTCCCCTCTCCTCAAACGAAAAGTTCTTGGATCCCTTACTCGAGGCAGAGTGTCAGCGAAGAAAACTCGCGTGTTGTTTCAAACCAGGTGAATTTTATGTAGCTTCAATATCAGGAGATACGGCGTTTCTATCTTGAGAATTGCTTAGAGCCCCGCTATCGTCACAGCGGTTATATCTGGAGCGACCGCGAAGGTGTGCGCGGGGCTTAGCCGTTTCCGGTAGCCGACGGATTTCCGTTTCCGGTCTAATAGTGGCAGGACTGCTTTGCGGCCGTAGCAACAGAATTCTGTTCCTTTCGCTCGCATTCTCACTGTTTTTTCGCCTTTCCGTTTTCATGCCACTTCTTTCAGGACTATGTCCTTTCAGCCGGCGTTCAACGCCCGGCTGATCGCCGAGGTGAAGAAGTACCCGTGCCTATACAATCATGCCAAGCGTGGAAGTGGAGATACCCTGGAGCGGATGCGAATCTGGGAGAAAATTGCCGCCGACGTCGATAGCAACTGTTCCGGTAGGTGCTCTGCTAATTGTTTCACGCTCTGAAGAAAATTCTCAATGATTTTCAGGTGACTTTGCCAAGAAGCGTTGGCTACAGTTGCGAGATCGATACCGAAAAGAACTGAAGACCGCGATCAAGCAGAATTTCGTCTCACCCGTTCGATGGTGCTACTTCTCACATCTTTCTTGGCTCGATCCTTACCTCAAGGATAATCTGTGAGTTGGCAAAGTACTGGACCTACATTCGTTGCCTCATCCCTACGTCACAGAGTGTTGACCTCTTGCGAAAGTTATGGAGATATCAAGGATGACTACGGTGTCGACTTTGGTATCAGCTCGGTTAAGACCGAACCAGATGACTGTAAGCGTTCGATCCTGCTTGTTGCCAAAAATTTTATTGATATGTCTATCTTTAGCTGATGGCGGCCACTCCTCGTCCATGATGGAATCTTCTGTAATTGACCGTCTGTTAGCGTCGACTCATCAGCTCGCAGGTTCCCAAAAAGGTAAATCAAAGAAACTAAATCTTCATGCCGTACAACATGAGATTTCCTGTACTCACAACTTCTTTAAATTCAAATTCTTTTCTATCTGAAACAGCGGGTATAGACACAAACGTAACATTTGGCTTAGGAAACTGTAAAACCGTCTTTTTTCTCTCTTTTACTTGTTCTGTTTGAAAATCTTGACTTGACATGAAATGACATAAAAATACTTCATAATTTTGCACGCAAAGGAGCTCTTCATAACTCTCCTGAAAGTTTGTTTTTCATCTTCAAATTACGTGGAGAGTTGTAGCTTTTTGATGTATACTCGTGACACATAGGAAATCCAACATTTGTATTTCCTAAATTCCTTCCGCACATTTTCAACTTGAATTATAAAGCTTGAACAGAGCCTTCCTAGTAGCGCTGATTCTCTTGGAAATCCATGAAAAATCTAGAAACATTAGAAACATAGAAGAATGGGAGAATTATAAGAGAAAAAAATGGAATTTGCTGTGCCGCCACACCGTGAAGACTCAGCCAATGAGTAGTCCTTTGTACTGTTCATATGTAATAAACTCTATAATGCGCAAGTATGTCAGTTGGTCAAAGTTTCTAAATTATTCTCAGAGGAGAACGAAGAAAGTGTAATAAAACTTCGGTTACGACTTATCAATATTAGTGAAACGTATGACTGACAGAAAGACGCTCTGCATCAAATTTCTGTACGATATTTAAAGAGTCTGGAGTGTGACGTAACTTATGGAATTTCAGATGAGAGTAGAACCCACAGCGTCGCCGATTCTGGAGTGGATGAAGAACTGAAGCTTGACTGCGATAGGGCTCAAGACTTGTTGTTCAAAGAATCGAATGACGGCAAAGTGGAGCAGAGCGAAGCAGGATCAGCACTGTCTCATCAATCACAATCACTTTTGAAAAATCAGCTGATGGCCCATTACCAACAACTGGAGCAAGCGATGATCAAGCAAGCTGTGAATGTGAGATCGCGCAGTATATTTTTGACCTTTGCGGTGAATTCCTTTGATTTAGGCCGGTAAAAGCGTAATGGACTGGATGAATGACGAAGACTTCCTTTACTGCAGAATTATCGGGGTGCGATTGAAAAAAATGGAACCAAGGAAGAGGAAACAGGTGAACATTCACGTTGCAGTTACCTATCATTTGGCGTATTTTTTAGGTTCGTGCTCAGATTATGAGCCTTCTGGAAGAGTCTGAGAATGAACTTGAAGAGGATGATGACTCTATGAGTAGTCCGAATATCGATGCGGGCGAATCGTCCGGATACGACCATCCAGTACTGGATGTCACTCATAACCATTAGTTTTGAAATCATCTCTCCAGCCACTTCACACCGAAGATGCAAAAACTGTACAAGCATATATTCATCGAAAGTGAAGTTTTCAGAGTATAGCACGAGCTACGACTGGCGCTTTCATTGCACTTTTGATCATTATTCATTTGCTAGAGTCTCTCAGTTTGCTGCAGAGGCTGCGACATTACCATCGTATTGAATTCACGAAAAGTTTAACCCCTCAGATCTCCTCATTTGTGTAGTGAATTTGGGCATTCCTGAAAGTTAGCGTATCTTGTCTTACATATCCTTCAAACTCATTTGCATTCGCGCAGGCACATGTATCGTTTATTCGTTGACCGTAACGACTGCTGACCGCGCGGCGACCGCTGCGCGTGCATGATGTTTTCGTAGAAAAGATGAATAGAAAGAAAACAGAGGATTCTTCTCATCTTTATAATGTAGAAAAGAAACAAAGAATTCTTCTCATCTTAAGCCACGGTCCAACTGTCACTTTTTCGCAAGTTTAGAAGGCACGCGTCGCAGTCGCCACGCGGTCGGCAGTCCGTACGGTCAACGAATGAACGATACCTTTCCATTCAAGCTGTGATAATTAAAATGCTTAACGTTGTTAGCCTTGTTATGATTCTGTACAATGTATACTTGCCTTAAAGATCTGTATTTTTCTTGCCGAACACCCTTTCACGCGAGTACCTATTGATTTTAGTCATTTACTTCCTACTACTACTGCAGATCCTATTCTGTTTGATATTTTGACTGTATATTGAGCATTCCCTTTGAATAAATTTACTAGTTCTATGCTGTATTCATGCAAGTTCTGAATCTGTTCATATGCATTGTGATTCAGTTCATCAGTTCACGATCCTAAGAGAAATGTAGTTGCAAACAATCAAACCATATCCATATATCGTAGTAATTTTCTCAACTTTTATAGATCTAAAAGCAGTCTGTCTCTTGCTTATCACGAAAGTTTGTGGAATATTTGTATCTACTTGTCTTGAAATTCTGGTTTCCGCAATGCGCAAGTAGTAGAGATGCAAAACCGATGCAAGTCTCACTTTGTGTTCAAGAAAAGCAGGGCTTGGACACCAGCAAGTTGAATATTTTAGACAAAAACAAACTTCGTTTTTTGCAGGGTTATTGAAATTTTGCAAGAACTGGTGAGAGAACTTTCAATTCTATCAGGTCGTTTCAAAAGTTCTTTCCTTTAACCTCTCACAAAAACTCATGGAATAATGATGGTCAAACATTTTAGAACTATCCGATGTAAATTTTCTCCTCTTTTCAACACTCATATATTGAAGTCATTTGCTTTCGTACTCACTTAACAGGCAAAATTCCGAACTCATGATTTTTGCCATAGAGTTTAACATTTTCTTGAATTTCGGTCTCAGCCTTCGGAAAATCTGTTAACATGAATAGAGTTGACAAAGTGCAGTACAGCGGATTTTTTGGGCATTCTCGACTAGCTTGCCACATATTTCAAGCTAAAAATTTTTAGCTTTTGCAAAGTTGTGTGACAAACGAACGCAACTAACATTAAGAAATCTTTGAAAGAAGACTCAAGACACCATTATCATATGCACGTCAAGGATCTGTGTTATCATCTGTGCTTTTCATATTGCGCATGGATACCGTGACGAGAGGCAATCAACTGTCGCACCCGTGGACGCGATGTTCCGAGATGGTGAGGTTTACATCTCAGGTAAAGTTCATGAGGACGTGTCTTCGTAGGCTCTTAAAGGCAGCGTCCAGGCAAGTCTGGACACATAGGGATCTCGCGTGGATAGTAAATTTGGGGCCCTAACAAAGCACTGTCCAACCAGCAGCTCAGGTAGTGCTCTAACGGCTGAGATATATCCCTCGAAACTGGACCCCGCGATCGTATTTCGCATGGATTCATGGTGCAAAGCGTGTCCTGGCGCGAAACTGCCGCGGGTCCAGTTTTAAGAGGAATCCCTCAGTCGTTAGAGCACTACCTGCGCTGCCGCTTGAGCAGTGCCATAGTTGGGGCCCAAAAGTACTTTCCATGTAGAATCCCCATAGGTCCAGATCTGCCTGGACGCTGCCTTTAATTGGCGATTTTTATAGATAGAATGGAGCCTGAGACATGCACCAATCGTTGGCACAGTTCCCAGTAACGTTGACCATACCCTCGATACATAGAGCCACGTACTCTGGTAACCTTCACTTTGAGGCCTATGAGGGGCCACAACCTTCACCTGAAAAAAAAACCAGAAGTCATCCGGGGCTTCGCCCGGATGTTATTATCCTGACTATATCGGAACGAATGTTAATGAAGCAAATATAGGCAATAATATCTTTAGCTTATCTCAGCGAAAACGAGAATTTGCGTTTTCATAGGTTTTTTTACGTTAAAAAGAAGGTTTCCGTGGATTTTTCGCCAGAATTTAGGACAGTTCCTCAGTTAACCTCTCATTTGACCAAAATAGAGTTTCAGAAGTTTAGGAAAGGTATTGGAGTTGAACAAAAACGAGAAACTGCGCTTGAATCTCGCGCAGAAAATCGCGCACGAAAACGCTGCTCTATCTCGTTGATGAGTGATTTTTGAAGTTTGGGACGTTGTCAGTTCTCCTCGTCGTGTCATGGCGATCAGAATGATATATATTGTTGCAGGGTTTCGTTGAAACCCCTCGGAGATCTACGACCAGAGCCAAATGCCCCGTCGGCTCTGGTCTGTCTCCGCTGCTCGTCTGCGTCTCCGCGCGCTGCGCGCTACCTCGCTACCCCAAACGCGGGGCGCGGGGCATTTGGCTCTGGTACCCTTTTCTTCGCTGTTTCGAACCCAAATTTAGCAAGCTATAAATCATTTTGAAGCTCTTGATCTCTATTTTCACGCTGACAACGTCCCAAAACCACATTTTTTGATTTGATCAAGAAATCCGGCAAAAACCTTGTTTTCGAAAATCACTTGTTTTTCTCCTAGTTTAACTCTTTTCACGCGGTTTTTTCGTGCATTCTACAGATCTTGCTTCGGTTTAATGCAGACAACCACCCAGCTCTTATTCTTTCGATTATAGTGGAATTTTTTGAGAAAAATCGTAAAAAGTGAATTTTTCTTTACTTTGTTCTTTTTCAGTGCTATCGCAGCGATTTTTTCCAGCTTGGGAGATTATTGCTCAGAACAATAAGCGCAACAATCTAGACAACGTCCCAGGAAACAGGAACGTCAATGCGGGGGTAAAAATTTAAAGGACGCATCGAAAATCAAAACCCCGTGTTGCAAACTGCCGGTCCTGGAGCGAAAACTTGCACTCCGAAAAGCCGCCAAATGAAAAATTTCAAACCTTATTGCGAAGTTTTTATCCAGTTTTCAGCGGTTTCTTTTGCTTTTAAATTTGTTTTATGTCATTTTCTCCTCTCTAATCTTCTTTAAACAACCTTCACTATTTATGACGTCAGATGCTCAAACAACCTTCACTTTTGACGCCCTGTCTCTAGACTATCGAAGGTATGACGTTGACCCATAAAAGCAAGCAGGCAAGTTTTTTGAAAGAAACGTGAGAAGTGCAGGAAGAGTTACGAACTTCGTGAATGATTTACTTACCTCACCACATCTCTGCAAAAAGGGCTTATTCCACAAAGACCACAATTTTCGTCAACAGCGTGTTCGAAAACCTCTATGAGCGAAGTGTCCTTACAATCCAAGATCATCAGTTTGACCAAAATCCATCGGCGAGCTTCAGAACGTCAGACGAGAAAAAGAAAATGAAATACTCCGAATATCTCGGAAAATTTGCTCATAGAGGTTATCCGATCTGCTGATTACGAATCACATCTGCTTAGCAAGAGAGCTACATATTTTAGGGCTATTGTGAGTGAAGGAGATCAAAAGATTCGCCTTGACGAGCTGAACACAATGCTGCTTCTAGATCCAGATTATATTCATTCCGAAAAAAGCTATGGCGCTGCGTAATTTGCCTGGTTCGCGTAGTTTCGCGACAATCGGGGAATTTCGCAGAATTTCCAGAATGTCGCGGAATTCCGGGAATTCCGCAAAATTCACAGAAATCTGCACATTCTATGAGCGATATTGCACTATAAATCTAAGTTGGTACCTGCTCTATTGAATGGTAGCTAAGCGAAAGAAATTGTGGAAAGAGAGTTATTAACGATTGAAAATTGTGTACTTACTTTTGGGACACCCTGTATTAAGAATGATTGATAGCTCTTCTCTTGATTAGAAACTTTAAGTCAAGGATTTCAAGGCTTGCTTCTGACAACGTCACTTTGGCAACTATCCTTAGATGGCAAAGGTATATCTTGTCAATATGGGAACAAAAGCGATCCAATGGTTTGACTGCCATCTTTTAATCATCCTACAGTCAGTTATTTGATCTTTTAATCATCCTACAATTGTCAGTTATCAAATCATTCCCATCGGAACAGTTTTTGAAGCAGCGAATCAGATATAGTAAAATGATCGGGAAATTCTTGGCTTTCCATTTTAGCGGAGACCTGCAACAAGCCGTATACCGTATTGCGCGACAGAAAAAGTTGAAGATGCCGTTTTTCAAGAACCTTATCGTTTAATAGCAATAGCAGAGACAGTCGTAGTGGCTAGTGCTCTACGTGATATTACCGTGTTGAAGGTCACGGGTTCGATTCGACCCTGAGCCTAATTTACGGGCAAAAATTCTGTTCACAATTTCAGCGTCAGTGCTTCTTCCAAAGAAGAGCATGCATAAGCCGGCTGGAAAAAACTCCGTCTCATCGACATAGCAGACATGTTTCACATAGTTAGCTCGATAAAGGCTAGAGCGCCCTCGGAAGCGACGCGCGTTCGAGCCGAGGAATGCGAAAAGTGGGCGAGGTTACCGTCTCTGCAAGGTGAAAGGCTAAACTTCACCAGAGGCAACGATCCAAGACATCGCAGAACCTCCGTCTAGCTACCATCAGGTACACTCACCTCTCATTCTCGAGAGCTGGCAATTCTTTGGAAGAGAGGGCGACTCGATGTAGCCTGCATACAGGAAACAAAGTGGAGGGGAGCAAAGTCACGAGACATAACATTGGATATCGATATAAGCTCCTCTACAATGGTTCCAGCAGCAACAGAAACGGGGTTGGCATAGCTGTTTCGGAGACTCTAAGGAACAATATAGTTGTTTAGCGCATAAGCGACCGTCTGATAAGCATAAAGATAAATACAGAGAAACGATCCTAGGAGTAGTCACGGCCTATGCGCCACAAGTCGCATGTAAGGATGAAGAAAAGGACGCGTTTTGGTAGGAGTTTGATGGCCACATCGGTTCAATTCTGCTGAACGAGACACTCCTGCTAGGAGCAGATCTCAACGGACATGTGGGAGAAATGCGAGAAGGAGCAGGGAAATGTCACGGAAGATACGGAACATGCAGCTAAGAAGGTGAGCGCA